ATACCGGAATCGTGGAAGTTAGCTAAAATAGTTCCGCTCTTAAAACCTGGGAAATCACCACTGAGCCTGGATTCCTTCCGCCGTGTAAGTTCTACCAGTTGCGTCGGAATGCTGCTCGAGAAGATCTTACATAACCGCTTACAGTGGTGGTTGGAAACTAGTAAAGCGTTTCCCGAAGAAATTACAGGATTTCGTCGACGTAGATGCACAATGGAAGGTATCTTAGACCTCACCACCTGTGTAGAGTACGAACGTGATAACGGGAACATTACAGTGGCAGTGTTCCTAGATATTCGCCGAGCATTTGATACGGTTAGTCACGCTCATGTTCTTGAAGGAGTTGTTCTTCTTGGTGTACATGGACGCATGCTACGCTGGATACAAGAGTTTCTTCGATGCAGGAACATCGTAGTGTCTACAAATAATGGAGACAGCAAGCATCATTAACTGCACCATGGAGTACCCCAAGGTAGCGTGTTGAGTCCTACTTTTTTCAATGTCGTAATGGCGCAGTTACCGCAGAAACTCCAGCCACCTTTACGAATATCTATATATGCTGACGATATTCGTATTTGGATCTCTGGCTCGTCCCCAGATAGTTTAAAGAATCAGTTACAGGTAGTCTTAGACACGACAAACAATTTTTAAGAGAACGAGGAACGGAGCTATCTGCCAAGAAACCTGCATTTATATCATTTACCAGAAAAAGCTTCCTGGTTTCGAACTTAATGTAAATGAAGACTCAATTCAGCGAGTTCAATCACACAAATTTCTTGGCGTCCTACTCGATCAATCCCTGACTTGGTCCAAACATATAGATATGCTGGAGGGGAGAATTAATAGTATAAATAATGTTTTTCGATGCATCGCGGGTGCAAAATGGGGAGCCTCAATAGATGCAATGCTCTAATTCCACACAGCGCTAGTGCGACAGGCAATTGCCTGTTGTATACCTGTGTTACAGGGGCTTTCCAAAACACCAGAAGCTCGCCTTACTTATATACTTGCAAGAAGTCTAAGAGTATGCTTAGGTCTTCCGCGAGCAACATCCAGTGCGCTTCTACTCGCTACAGCCAAAGAACCACCAGTAGCTATCCTAAGAATCCAGGAAGTATGTCCTAATTTTTTTAGGCTTTCTGCGCGGCCCCTTTTTAATAAAATTCTTTCTCGCAAAGGGACGAACTTTCTTCGAACCTTAAATTTCGTGCCCCTATTGATCCCTGAACAAACACACTGGGTTCAGGACATTCAAAAGCCACAATGGAAGCTACCATTATTAGACGTCTACATGAACATTCCTGGCGTGGAAACAAAAGCATCGGTCAATACACACGTTGCAAGGACATTGACTCTTGCAGATCTACAGCAAAAATACGACGACAACATCCACGTGTATACCGACGGATCAACCAAGGATGAAGGATCAACATCAGTATTTGTGATACCCCAGTTCAACTATTCGTCATCCTTTCGGTTGTCACATCACACATCTTCAATTACCGCAGAATTGCATGCTTTACTCGCGGCTGCAATATACATCAAAAATAGCTTGACAGCGAATTCCTGGGTTATATGTACGGACTCCAAGCCAGCACTACAATCCATTATTATCCTGAATACTCGCAACGAAAATATGGCTCTTGTGTACCGAATTTGCGAAGAACTTGGGGAAGCAATAAGGTTTGGACATACGGTACACCTTCAATGGGTTCCTGGACATAGCGGTATTTTAGGAAACACCCAAGCTGACCAACTGGCTACGGATGGATATACAAGCAACAACGTCCAGCTCACACCTTTTACAAAAAGCGATGCCAAGCGGTACATTTGTTATCTGAGAAACATGATGTCCCAAGACACGTGGCTCAAGAGCATCTCGGAACAGAGCCTACTCCTTCTAATTGATCCAGACCTTCGGTGCCCAGTCCATTATTACTTGAGCAGACCTATTGAAACACTAATTCATCCCCTACGACTAAATGTTGCGTACACCGGCAAATTTCTTTACCGAATTCAACAGGTGGAAACACCGAGCTGCACCTGTGGCCACCCGTGGAAGACGTCGAGCACATAATAATAAACTGTCCCAGATACGACGAGTGGCGAACTCGATTACGAGTGGGACTAAGCATACTCGACAATCGCTCTTTTTTTTTTGGCCAAAGTTTTAGGTCCTTGGCCGGACTTAAAAAGTCAGAAGAGGGCGTCAACTTTACTTGGTAGAAGAGCGTGTTGGTTTAAGTCATGGATGAAGAAAGAATAAACAATTAAAACAGGGACAACACAACCACATCTTTCATGGTTTTCATGGACAACACAACCACATCTTTCATTTCATTTTGAAAGATGTGGTTGTGTTGTCCCTGTTTTAATTGTTTATTCTTTCTTCATCCATGACGTCAACTTTACTACGTCATTGTTTTACTGACACAGAGATAGTTGACAGATATTAAGTATTATACGAAGGTTAAAGCACGCACAACGCGCCCTTACAAGATAACTGCGTTTTTTTATATTAATTTTATAACTATGTTGCAGTAATCTATTGTACATATGTACATATGTATTTATTTCGTCTTCGCTTCTCTCACCGTGTAATTTTTTTCGTGCGTGTATGGCAACTGAGAGTATTATTCATGATGTTCTTATTTTATATTTGGATGTAATACATCATTCATACTGTACATTACTTGATCTGAGGTAGCCGGTCCCAGGATATGGGACAAAACTCTTCAACTCATTAAATAAACATTGAAGAATGAACTTTACGGTCCTGCTTGTCACATCTGTAAGTTTGATTCGTTTTAGGGGCTATATACTTTAGGCCCTCACCTGATGTAATAACAAGAATTAAAATGACACTGCATCGCTACCATACTGCAATTTTTTTATAGAACAAAATAGTTTGCACCCGCAGTTCACCTTGCGAAATTCATCGGGAATTATTCAAGCTCAAGATTTGTCTATACGACAGTTATTGCTTTCCTGGCGATTTTTATAGAAGCAGTTAGATAAAATACTTGTATTTTTTTATGGTGTGTGTCTGCAGGTGAGACTTCTAAGCTTCGAGTTTTGTCTTCGGCAATCGCTGCTGCTGAGCGAGAATTCTTGCAGCTGAAGTGACAAAACGCTGGGGATCAAAAATTAAAACGAACCAATGTTATAATATTTTAAGAGCAGAGATACGTATGTAACATCACTCAATTGGTGACATTAGATTATTATGGAACAAGCGATTTCAAGCGCTCAAGACATAGGAACAAAGGCTCGCAGCCGGTTACGTGTGGGCCGCGTCCCAAGGAGTTGCGGGCCGCATGCGTCACGTGACCCCCCTGAGGTCACGTAACCCCCGTGACGTCACGGAGGTCACGTGACCTCAGGGGGTCACGTGATTTCAGGGGCACGCGACCCCCGTGAGGCAAGGTGGCCCCCATGGTGGAGTAGCAGGCAGGATGACGAGATGAGGAGGAGGAAGGAGGGGTATACCCTCCCCTCTGTACCCTTCCATCCTCCTTCTCAGGAGCTGCGCTCGAATTCAGCGTTACAAAGAGTTGTAAACGGCTTTCATTTTTTTTTGTAAATACGTTAAGCCATTCCTGTCGACACACGTAGAATGCAAGTAGATTAATATTAGGTCCAGGAAACCTTTGTAGGAAACCCTGCTGCATCAACACTGTCCCCTATGCACCATACATGGGTAAATTACTTTCAATATGTAATTTAATTACAATTACAATTACTTCGCTCTAAAAGTAGCTTAACTACAATTACAATTACAACTACGGAAAAGTAATTAATCACAATTACAAATTACCTTTAAAAAGTAATGAAATTACTTTACAATTACTTATTTCTGAAAGCTACCCACCTTGACCCCTATAACTCTAAACGAGTTCTATAGCCGCTGTATAAATGTCACGTATTTTCCTCTTATGAAATTTGTTAAATAAAATATAGAACTTAACAGTTTGGAGTAATGAACTCCTGCGTTCTTATATTGGCAATAAATAAAAAAAATATTTTATATACTCCAGGACGCCAGATCGCTAAGTCAAATTCGGTTGACACGTTTTTGTTAGGCAGGATAATAAAAGTACGACACTTACAGACATATCTGAATCTTTTATTAGTGTTAATATCAAAGTACCATCGACGTGCGCTAATACCAGCACATACACCTACAAATGTTTCATGTTAATGTAAATTATGTACATTGAGTTGAAATAATAATGGCTAAGAAATTTATAAGAACCAAAAAGGTGCTCCCAAATCAATGGTGACCAAATTCAGAGGTGCGAGGTTAGTCTCCTCTAAATGTTTATGCAAATAGTACACAAGTGAAACCTACAAAGAATAAACTCGAAAATAATACACGGAAACAAATACGCGACAGTACTGGTATGATAAAACTCAGGCAAAAATGTCTGATAAGAGAAACCTATAAACGACGTCAGTCATTTAGACAATAAGACAACTTACGAAAACATTTCACCCGTGATGATTCCCTGCCTCAGTCTGTAAACGCGTAATATGCCGGATGTGGATAACCGTAGCACGCGAGCTGTGGTCGCTTCCATAAAACTAGTACCACGCAACTCTCCGAAACAACTCGAACCCTCGGACGAGAGAGCTCTTTTCGAGTATATGAAATTGCATCTTACTCGTTTGTCCGAACCCCATGGACGCTACGACGCGATCGAGCATCGAATCACAGCGTGCATCGTCACGGCGTTCGTCGCTTTGTGCGTCACAGGCTAAACCAGTCACGCAAACCTGCGCTCGTTTCAGATTGTCTCGGCCGGTGATAGCAAACGCACAAAGACCAGGAGCGGTGTGATGGAGCGCTGCTTGATCGTCTCATCGGGTCATAGAGTCGGCTGCGTTCGGACTTCGTGAAACGGAGTATGGTGACTAGTACACAAGGTCGCGCGGCGCAAGGCCGAACGTCCTGCAATAATGAAGCTCGATCGCTTTTAGTTTCTTTTAGGAGAGATCACCGCTCACGTTTGACAGCTGACAACTTCAAAGTCCGGCATGGTACAAGCAATCATAGTTAACTGGAATCGTAATTTCCGTTATTACTCGGTATTTAGCAAGCTAAACGCCCATTGCATTTAAGGAGCAGCTGGTTTTCGAAATTTTCGTCACTAAGCCGGCCACGCTTAATTGTTAGCACATCTCTAGCGACACTGAAGAGCCTCTCGGCTGCAGCAGACGAAGGTACAGGGGTGTTGAACCTCAAAAAACAACTTCCGAATGTTTGGGAAATCATTCAGGCATTTCAGGTCAGTGTCATTTCTGGCCTTCCACTGTTGCAATTCATCGGAGACAGTTCCGTCGAAGAGGACCCCGAAGAAATCCTCGTCTTCGCTGGATTGTGCGGGTCTGACGTCAGAGCTTTCGCTGGAAACCAGCTTCTCGAATTCTTCCTTCACTTCCAGCCAGCTGCTGTCTCTTTTCCCCCAGTCCACCCATGCCAGCCGGAATCGTGGGTGCGTAGCAGACGCAACAAGAAGATCTTTGTTCTCGAGCTGATCTGCAAACCTGATACATTTGGTATAATTTACCGTTGCGGCGGAAACAGTTATATCTAAATGGTCAAAATCACCTACCTCGAGGACACTCCTTGCTTTAGAGCGTCGACAAGAGCTCCACAAACTTTAAGCGGCGTCATCTCGTCAAGTGCCTTCAAGACTGACCATATCACGGGTAGAAGAGCTCCCATATACATGTACTTTTCCCCTTGTAGGATGTCGAGCGCCTTTGCCAATGGCTTCATGACCTTAAAGCCAGAGAGCGACATAGAACACATTATAACTAAAAGTTGTTTCGTTTTATTACGTTCCTAGGCTATTACAATTAGTGCAGTGCCGTGAATAACTGACCTTTGTATACTCCTCGATGAACAGAACTTCTTCGTCCTGAAGCCTTGGTAGGGCCAGTTCGTCGGAAATACCATCCAACACAGCTCGATCGATTCCACTAAGAAAACTCAGAGCGTCGTACAATGAGTTCCATCGGGTCGCACATGGTACGATCAAAAGACGACCGAGCTTCCTGGAAATGATCTCTGAAGAAACTGTAGAGTGCTGCTGCCTGTTCCAGAGAGCTCTGCACTTGCTGAGGGTTTTCGATGAGCAGCGGCTGTAGCTTGCATCATGGGAAGCTTCACGAGCGTCGACGTTGGCCACAAGGTTGAGTGTGTGAGCCGCACAGCGTTGGTGGTTTGGCAGGCAGATGAAATCCGCCGAGGTCGCTGGCGGGTCATCCAAATTAGCCGAGACGTCGACAAGGTCAACTTCCAGATCATCTTCACAAGGCTCCTGGCCGAACACTCTTTATAGTGGGCAAATAATATTTTGTATATTACGGATCTATAATTTGGCTATTTCCGGTGTCATATCTGCAGACGCTCTACGTGAGGCTGCAACTTTATTACAGGAAATTGCTAGCGCAAAAAGTATGGCATAGAGCAGCATTTTATTCAAGTGAGTCTGACTACTTCCCATTACCTATATCAGCTAGTTAGGTAAGGAGCCCATACCCTTCCCGTAAGATAGATAGTGAGCCAGTTGCGAAGTAAACAGCGTCAAGGTAATTAACCAGCGCGCAGCGAGTTTCATTTCTGCAGAATGGGGGGACGTCGAGGGGCAGGGGGGGGGGGGGGGGGGAGGAGGGAGCGGGAAAGACAGTGGGACAGTGCGACACGACAGGGAAATTTCACAAGCCTTGCCAACCCCCACCCCCGATCCCAAGGCACCCGATCCCCTTTCCCTGTAATTATGTACCTGAATTACGCTACACAGCAGTGCATACAATTAAGAATTATTTTTTAAATAAAATAAACACACAGAACTGTCCGGCTTTAGCACGCATAGAAGGTTTGACCACCCTCCCCCCCCCCCTTTCCCCCAATCTTTCACTTCATTTACAACCGCATGCTTGAAAAAAAAAAAAAAAGAAAGAAAGAAAGCGAGTGCGAAATATAGTGGCAAAAAGAAAGACAAAATTACTCTCCGAGAAAAATATATCGGCTTCATATAATTGTTTTGTCTTTTAGAACTCACCGAAATGCCTTGATGAAGTTGGATGCGTTATCGGTTACAGTGACCAAGATCTTGTTTGTTATCTTAAACTCTCGGAAGACGTCTTGCAAGGCAGCAGCGAGAACGTCGTAGGTATGGCGCCCTGTGAGACGTTTGCATGCCAAGATTGCGGACTCTCTTGCCAGAGATTCTGGGTTAATCCAGTGCACGGTAACACCCAAGAAGCTGCTGAAATAGGTAATAAATATAGGATCGTCAAGTAGCTAATCATTAGGATAGCAATGATTGCATCGATGTTATGTGTCTCAAAAACTCTGTCTCAAGACCGAGTTCTCAAGACCGATTTGAATTTCGCATGTCAAGAACCGACTCGAAAAGTTCATGATGTATCGGGTTTCGTGCATGTCTCAGTTCATTTTCTCAAAGAAATAAAAATAATTTTGTAATCGACTTACCGATGGAACGACGTCCAGCAGTCGGCTGTACAACACACAGTTTCGATTTTCTTTAGAATGTTCCTCAGGGAGTCGCGCATTTCACATGCAGCTGCTTCTATGCGGCTAACAAGGGTCTTTCGTGTCATAACGGCCTTTTCTGGTTAAAGCCGGTTGATTAGCTTGCGAAAGTCTTCGTCTTCCACCACAGAAAAACACTGAAACGTGCCGACAACAAAGTTAACAATTAACTTATCGAGTTGGCCCTGAGAAAGCACGGGAGACCGGCTGCCCTGTCCCATGAGTTTGTCCAGCCGAAGCTGTTTTCGTTCCTGGCTTGGACAAGCTTCATTAGCACATTTCTCCGGCCTCTTGGACGCCTCAATTTCATGAATTACTTGAGCGTATTTCAGCTGGAAGATATAGACGAGCCATTATTATTAATTTTTTTTTATAACTGTAAGTAATATTGAAATTGACAAGATTGTTGCCTACCTGCAAATGTTTCCGCAAATTGGAGGTCGCCTTTCTGTTCGCTGAAAATGTTTTCAGAGACGGTGCGCAAAGTTTGCACCTCACGATTATATTTTTCCCATTGCTGCTAATCTGTTCAAAGAATTTTTCGTAAGAAGGCCAGGGCAGCCTTTCCTTTTCCATTGTAGGTAAGCCTGTGGCAGGTTCTCAATGCGAAGCGACACTGCGAGCCTCCGAACCTTACACGGCTACGCAGGCCAAAGGGAGAGGACAACGCACGCCGATAGAGGCGTAAAAAAAAAAAGTGCAAGCCACGCACGTGCGTGAGGAGCCCTCTATATAAATATATATATATAAAAAAAAAGCCTTTAACGAAAAACAAATGAACCAAACAAGCTCCCGACTGTCACGGTTTGTAAAGTTTCGGAATCTCGTAAAGTAAAGTCGCGGTTTGTAAAGTTTCGGAATCTCGTCCAATCAGGTTGAGAAACGGTTGAAAGGGTTAGGGGTCAGAGCTAACAGTAAAAAATAATAATGTATACAAAAAGGTAGACAAGGATTGGGAGAGGGAAGAGCAGTGTAGCACAAGTTGCTGTTTGTACGGTACCAACAGTCGAGCAAGCGAACAGGGACATGAAAAACTCATAAAGATAAGAGAATAATTTCATAGACAATAAAAATCGCCAACCTTGACTGAAATATGTAAGCTAATATGCTAGCGGCGAAGACGCGCAAGGAGAACCTCGAACCTCCCCGCCTCGACCGAATGATGTGATCGGAGTCCAACCAGTTCGAATTCGACCCCCGATGCCCCCGGATGGGAATGAGAAATATAAAAGACCCCTAGAAACACGAGCAACAGGAAGCGAACGAGACGAAGAGACCGATTAAACTACGACAGGAGCCAAAACGGACGCGAACATTCATTGAATCGTTTTGCAGTCTACAAAACCGTTCATTCCGTTGTATCCCAGCAGCTCTTTCTCGTTCCTCCTTTCCCTCTTGAGATGGTTGGGATACACTCTACTGTACTGACGTCAACGTGGCCGGGGGGGGGGGGGAAGCCGGCGCCGCAAAATCTTGCAAAAGTAATTGTAATCGTGCCTGAAATTCTGCAATTACTGACGCTAAAAAGTAATTAAATTACAATTACAATTCCCTTTCACCGAAAGTAATTATTAAAATTACAAATTACCAGAAAAAGTAATTAAATTACAGTAATTCAATTACTGTAATTAAATTACTACCCAAGTATGCTATGCACATCAGGAGACGATCTTGAGGTAGAGCATAATAGTGGTCCTTAACGACAATAGAAAAAGACATAAGCCTCCTGTGCTTGGGTTCTTGGTGAAATTCCAAGAGCTCATCTGGGTTCCTAATCAAGTAGGCATCATTAATGCCAAAAAGATTTCGTTTTTATTGAAGGAACACAGCGATGGGTTTTTGCGATGTGCCCTTTAGACACAATGACCCTGAGGGGGCAATCGGTTTTATGTAATTTTGCAATGAAAAAAACCCCAAGGCTAGACAGTTTACGCCTGTCAATGAACAAACCAAGTTGCTTCAGGTCGAGCGAGTTACATAATTTCTTGGCAAGGCGTTTTATTTTACTTAAGGAAATGTCATGATGGCACTGGAAAATGGACTCTGGGCTGCACGGGCCTTAGTGCCAAACAAGTCTTTATGCATGAGCACAAAACGACTTTCTTTGTCCGCAGGCAGGAAAGATAAACTATGCTCTTTTGAGTAGGTCTCAACCTTCTTAATAAGCAGAGGTATGATCGGGATTTTGTAATGTGAAAGAACGTCTACTCCTGAAATGCACCGATCAAAGTCAGTGAGGAATGTTCGCTAGACACTTGTCTGACCGCAGGTAACAGCACAGTTGCCGACTCACGGGGTTCAACCGCAAACTTCGGGTGAAAGCTAAGTGCTTTTCAGACTCCTGGAGGCAGGTAGAAGTCACCTTGTGACATGTGCCGGTAGGCATTGGGTGCTTGTCTTACGCGGAATGATACATCTAAGATGCTTCAAGGTGAGTGGCCGCAGAGACACAGTTGTACGATCCGTGAGGATGGAGTAATCCCGCCACACTCTTCCTCCGTAGGGTGAACTCAAGTGGTTATGCAAAAGCACGTACAAACTGTTCCTGTAGAGTCTTGTCTGTCGATACCACTCAGCTCGTAGAGTCTTGCAGAGCCATCTGCTGTGGCCTGCAGAAGGGGTGAATCCTCCAAACAGGATCTTGACTTCTGGGGGTAGAAGGTGGACTCGGAGGCAATAACAGAAAGTCCGCGCTAGGGAAATGCAAATAGCAATAAGAGTTACTAGGACGTTGGGGTTCAAATGTAAGAACTAAACGGAGCCCGATGTTACTTTGTTACGGATTGTTACACACTTGTTACTTTCGAGTTAAGTCAAGGTATAACAGCTCCTCCTTGGAAAGTGATATAGGATAGCCAACGCATGTGCCACTCTCACGATACTTGCTGCGTCGATGATTTCTCATTTGAGTGGATGATTCTCCCTGATTACGGAGCAGTTTTTGAAGTTGGCTAAGCATCCAAAGTCGCGGCGGTGAATGTGTAGAAGTCTGAATTTGGCTACTCCGATGCTGTTGATATATCCTCTTTATCGGCCTCTATGATCTCTTAATCGGTTTATATCTTCCCCCTTTAATGTGGCAAATTTACATAGTGCTACGAGAAAGATGTTTTAACGATCAATTAAGAGGAGATAACAACGTCGGAGTAGCCAATTCAGGACTTTTGGGCATTCATCGCCGCGACTTCGGATGCTCAGCCAACTTCAAAAACTTCTCCGCAATCAGCGAGAACCATCACCAACTAACAAAAGAAGTCACCGAAGCCGCAAATATTGCGACGCAAAGTAAACCACGTGTTACCTATCCTTGTTTATAACTTACCGAGGAGTTGTTATGCCTAGAATCTACTCGAAAATAACGCGGGTGTTATACCTTAAAATAAGAGTCTTGAGGAAGAAATACCACGCCGAATCTTAGCAGCAGAAAGAAAACAACAAAGTGTGATAAGTTTCTTCCTTTTTCTTTTTCGTTTTTTTTAATTTTTCTTTGTCTTTTTTTTTTATTGTTGCAAAGGAGGAAGACAAAAATACAAACCAGAGTTTATAGTCAGCGCTACTTTATTACAGCGTACTAGAATATGGCGTAGTGTTTAGACCGGCACGACAGAGACAACATTATTGTTGTGTTTGTCGCGGTTATTGCTGCAGACAATAATCGCGGTGTTGCAGTCGACAGTCCAGCGGAAAGTCGCTGCAGCCTGCAGGTGCAGCCGCGCGTGGTCGTTTGCGCGGAGCGCGCGCGCAACCGCCACCATACTGCCCCTGCTGCCCATGCGCCGGTGCCGACACCTATCGCGATCTACACCACACGCCTCACGAAAGCCGTTCCGGTCCCAGCACTAGCCTGCATTCTAGTCGATTCTAGCGCTGCGTGAGCCGTTCCTCACTGACCGCGTGCGTGTGGTTTGAGTTTGTGAGTCATCTTTTATGCTGTTAACTGAGCGGCAAACCTTCGCGTATAAATAAAGAAAACATGTTCTCCCCCCTCTTTTATGTTGTTACCTTTACGCATTCAGTTTAGCTTAGCTCTGTGCAATTAATACTTTTGCCCAACCTCCTTTTTTAATTCCTCTCGTTTATTTTCCTCTCTCACCTTTCCCCAGACACTCCTTATTTTTCCCTTCGCAGTCTTACATATTGAGAGGGTGTTCACGGATAAAACCCACATCACCTTCATCATGGTCATCAAACACTGCTGTTCTTAATTTTAGAGCGCAGCTCTAAGGGGCCCGTTTCCGGCTTGAGCGGCGTCGCCATCGGCCTCGTCGTCGGCGTAACCACGAGGTCACGTGACCCCCCAAGGTCACGTGGCCCCAAGGTCACGTGACCACCCAAGGTGACGTGACCCCCCCCCCCCCCCCCCCCCCCCCCGAGGTGACGTGGCCAACCTCCGGACACAAAGCGAGTTGTGCGGCCGCAACACGGTAGGCGCCACCATCGAGGTGTACAGTAGCGCTCGCGTGGTCGGAGGCGCTCATTACTAAAAAATAAACAAAACAATGATAATTGAAGCTTACTGTTAGTTCCATAATAGTCACTTATTACGTAACACAATATCAAATGAGTATAATTAAAAATGTAAAATATTTTCCTCCGACTTTGCGTGGCTCTCTTGTGTTGTCGAGTTTAAACCGAAACCGTTGATCGCACGCTTCCGCTCTTATGCGCCTGCGCGATGCAAACCCGCGGCCGTTTCGCCCGGGCTCAAGCGCCGGCGCGCCGGCTCCCCCTCGCCCCTCTCCCAAAGAAGAAAAACAAAAAAAGAGAGAGCCAAAAACAAACGAATTTATCTCCATCGCTCCGCGCGACGCGTTCCGTGCTTTTTGGGGTGGAATTCGTAAAGTCGAACTCAATTTTGGTTTCCTCTCCACGAACTCGCTATGTCGAAGGGGGGTCATTCTGTGTGTTGCGCGAAATGGTGCCTGAACAGTGCAAGGGACAAGAGGCACCGTTTCTTTCGAATACCCACGGACGACAGGTGAGTCGGAAAGTTTCATCAGAAACTAAACTAACTTTGCAG